TAGTAATTGGAGCATGTATTTGAAATTATTGGATTTTAAGTAGGTTGAGGTGAATTAGGTGCTATCCATTACTTTTCGAAATGACATGGTCTTGAATTTGTAGGTTTCCGCTTGGTGCGTTGTAATTCTCTCAGTCACTTTGTTCTCTTGGTTCTTTTTTGATTTAGGAACTTTCGATGAACAACCTGCCTCCCGGTTGGGAGACCCGTGTGTCTAAAAGCACTGGTAGGTTTGCGTTCTTACTATTTTTCAATAACGGCTTTGTGTGTGTGTGCCTGCGTTGCCTAATCTGTTTTGTGTTAATCATTTTAGGTAGGACATATTATGTAAATACGCTGAGAAATGTGTCGCAATGGGATCTTCCTACTGATTCCGTCACTAATAAAAATGATGGCAAAATTCGGTGTTGTCACCTCTTAGTCAAGCACTCTGGTTCGAGGCGACCGTCCTCGTGGCGGGAGGAGAACATTACGCGAACTTTGGACGAGGCTGTGGAAATTCTTAACGGTGTGTCATACTGACCAATGCTTTCAGCTTACCGTATGAAAATGATATTCAGAAACCACACATTCAAAAAAGTTTTTAACTTATTGCCTCAAATTGGTTTGTCACTTCTTTCGAGATTAGACTTTAGTTCGTCTTAAAAGTATGTTCTTTATTCAGAAATTCAATATAAAAAACTCTGTGGCTGCTTAAAGGGGCTACTATCGCTCATGGAAAAATATGCCTTTACATTTCAGGTTACAAAGATGACATAAATTCGGAAAGGAATTCCTTTGGAGAACTTGCCTCGAAGTTCAGTGACTGTAGCTCGGCTCATAATGGCGGTGATCTCGGTTTCTTCGGTCATGGGCAAATGCAAAAGCCGTTTGAAGACGCTGCTTTTGGTCTTCGTGTTGGCGAGATGTGTGGCCCAGTATACACGGATTCTGGCGTCCATCTTATCAAGCGTGTAGCTTGAAGTTCTTTACGGATGTCGTGTTCCTGTTTATAAAAACAACAAACCTGCAACTGCCTCATTGGTTGCGTCGTGTGACGTGTTGCCTTTGGATCTGTCTCCAGCAGAGCTTAGCACGCACGCTAACTCAATCATGTCGGATGGGGAACATCAGTGACCACAGGCGCTCCTGGCTGTGGGCTTTTACAACTGCGCTGTCTCAATAGTTGGGGGATTTCATGCCGCCCTCCTGACAGTGTACGGCTTCTTTCCAGACACTCGAAATGCGAAGTCAATGCACGTTGTTTAGTGTCATTTTTCAGTTTAGTA